GGTATGAACGTACTCATGTGGGTATGAACATACCTGTGTACGCACGATATGGTCGCGTGCGCCGGTTTTCGAAATCCCGCCTTGGCGCAGGTGTTTAGGATGCGGCAAGTCACGCGTGTTCGAAACTTTCAAAAAACAGTGAGTGAAATCTCTTTCGTTGATGTTGCTTTTGGATTGTTGGATGGAACAACGCATGACACTCACTTTCGAACTGGTTCGTACGCTTTGACTGCTAACCTATCTTCCTGTACGTTACCAGCTACGAAGGTTCTTTTGTTTTTCGTCCCATCACCCGACTCATCTCGTCGTGTCAACCCAGGGCACAAGTACCTTGTCGAGAACTCTTGGATCATCACACCGGCAACAACGATTCCATCCACACCGTCCCCCACCAGCCACAAAACGAGTCGAAACAACATGGAGAAAGCATCAGCAACGAACGATCTCGACGAACGCAACAGCAGCGGGAGCGTCAACGAAGACAAGGCGAAGGGCGTCACCGATCTGGTTTCGGACATGCTTTTAGAAATGGTGCGTTTCTTGTATATTGCACTGTTTTGAATTGCTGTAGTGCAAACACGGGCGTACGTTCAAAATGTTGCTTCTTCCTGCCTTGCTTCGGTTTGTTGTGTTCGGGGATATTTCTTTCCTGAGGCCATCGTATCGTTGCTGTGCTGTGGTTCTCCCGTCCTTGTACGAATTTGCTCACGCGTCCTTGACATCTAATGTTCGTTTTCTGAAATTACACATGCAATCATTACGGTTCCATTTTTTTTTAGGAAAACGACTTTAAAAAATCCGGGAATTCAATCAGGGATCGAATGAGAGAGATGGGTTCCAAGCTGGACGGGCTCGAACAAAGTAAGTCTAGGAATAGCGCTCTTGTGGTTTGCATTGTTCTCAATTAAATATAATAGTGAATGGGAGCAGACAGCAAGCCATTGCCAAACGCTGCTCACACAGCCTTGCACTCGTTTCTGCATGTGTTTCGCCCCGCGTTTTTCCGGTACCACCTTTGCTTTCCGTGCCATTGCGCCGCTAGGCATCAACGGTCTGATGCACGACGCCGGGCTAATCGACGGCGAAGAGGAATCCCCGTCTGATTCCAATCCATCGCCGCGGCGCCCACCGACGAACTCGTCCCCGCCACGAACAACGATGGCCACGTCGGATTCCGTGTGAGGTTCGATCTAGTTTTGTTCAGCGGTGATCGGTAGTCCAACCTAGGTCTATTCCTCGGTTCGATTTACGATCCTGCAAACACAACACACATTTCACCTTAACGACATCTCGTGCACCTAACACGCGATTCGAGTGATCGAATTCAGATTATAAATGATACTGTAAACTAGTCGTTCCCCTTCCTCATTTCTTAAATTCTCACATACTTGAACGATAAAACAATCATTGGTACTTCTTGTGTTGTATTTTCTGTGGGAATCCATTTTGTACAGGGCTTTCCCATCATTGATCCAAATAAACTCCAAATCATTCGTCCCTCTTTCCCCCGAGCATCGGCAGGGTTTCTGGTTCACCTCATTGCTCTTTTCCCTCTTTCGACGGTTTCCTGTACTCGAAGCGATTCCATTCGAAGCAAATCCGGCGCTGGAACCCCCGCGGGAGACTCTCGTAGGGGACGAACAGTGTCGGAAACAGTGGGGGTGTCGTCTTTCGGTACTCCTCGTAGTTCCCGGCGATCGTTTCGTCTTCGTAATAGCGCCGCAGGTTTTTCCCCTCGGCGTTCCAGACGCCCGTCCCCGAGGTATTCAGCAGGATCTGCACCGTAAAGAGCGGCGAGACCGATGCAACGGCGGCCACCTTCCAGGACCAGCCACAGACACAGGTTGCGTACACCGCCGCAAACACCCACGTCAGGATCTCGCCGGCATAGTTCGGGTGCCTCGAGTGTTTCCAGAGGCCCTCCCGACAGAATCCTCCGGGCCGGCCCCTCGACACCCATCCCGCCTTGGCAACATCGCTATGGATTTCCGCTACAATGGACATCGCCATGGCAAGGAGCAGCAGGAAGGAACCGTCGACGCCGCCGGCATCTGCTGCCGCATCGGTTTGGTGGTCGTGCGCATGCTCGGCCACCGCCAGCAACGGGAGGGAAATACAATATACCCAGATCGCCTGGACCATCCAATAGACAAAGAAGGTGGAGGGAACGTTCCGGACTCCGTCGAATCGTGAATCGCCCTTTCGGTGGTGGGCCCTCCAGGCCAGAAACAGCAGCAGCCAACCCCGGCTGACCGCGAACAAGGCAACGAACACATTATTTCTGCCGGCGTCGATTGTCCCCTGTCCTGATACAAACGCAAGGACTGCCAGGGCTAAGAAGTTGATCCCTCCCAGAACATCGTAAAAGATTTCTGTTTGCAAAACGGCGGCAACGACGAAACCGGTGAACTGCATCCCAAACGTGAGAATCGCACCGTCCGCATAGACACTATTCGGCGATAACAACATGGTGAAATTTGGATATCTTGCGTAGCCCACGAGCACTTCCAGGTTCGGATCCTTGCTGGAATGGAGAATGCCTTTCTCTTTATGCAACAGATGAAAAAGTACGAACAAGCTTCACGAACTTGCATTTCAACAGATGATTCAAAACTTCGTAAGAACCGTACCGATTCGTTCTCGTATCCTACCGTACGGTACGTACGAGTACCAAAGCAATCACGATGCACACAAACAAACGTCCCCCTATTCCACATCTCTTCTTTTGAGGGATTGACTAGCTCGACTAAATAAATTCACTATGATGAAAAGAGGTGCGTTCAGAATTGTGTCACAGAAAGATGACGCGCGCGCACAACCTCAAAGAAAAAATGAGCGGTTCCTCATTTTCTCCAGAACACTTATGTTGGCGGGGATCGGTCGGCATTTGCAAGGCATCTGCATCGCCAAATCGTAAATCGTCTTTGCGAACAGTTACTCTTGTGTCTTTTTAGTCGTACTGTACTCGGACTTCATGTATTTGAGTCTTTCTCTTCCATAGAGAAAGCTTGGAAAGTTATCGTTGAAGCGACAACAGCACATTATCACGAACAGAACACCGAAAAAATCACCAACACACGCACCCACCAACTCCCAAAGCAGAGGCAAACGATATCGAAAGAGGAAACCCAATGATTGATCAAGGCCGAAAGCAAGAGATAGATTGTACCGTGCAAACCCAACTAGGAAGAGAACAACAGACGAAGGGAACACGAGGAAAGGCAGCAATGGACAAAAAATCTCGGAGACATTCCTTTGTTACGCCGCCCCGGCGCAAAGGGCAGCGGGGTCTGGGCCGCTCGCTGGATGGCCTGGGCGCCATTTCGAAACAAGTTTCCATGGCTAGCTTGGGCGGCTCGGTCCACAGCGCCGGAAGCACGAGCAACAACCCCATTACCAAGGACCTGCAGCTCAACATTCTAGTCCACGACAAACTAGACAAGATAAAGAAATACACGCCCTTCCATCGCTGGAAGTCAAAATTCCTGAACCGCTTCGATACATTCCTGACGGAGGGGGGGAAGAAGCCGGCCAGAGAGGCTTCGGGAAGGATCCAGAACCATCTGCAGAACTGTTTGAATAGAGCAGATGTTCTCATAGAGCTAATCGAAAGAGGGGATCTCTCCCCAATCACCGGAAGAAAGACGGTCCGTGCATTTTCTGCTCTCAAAGAGTTCTGCCAAGACCTAGACGGTACCAGAGTGGAGCTCCAAGAACTGGTGCCAGGCAATTCGATGGACGAACGGCGCTTGGGGTACACCAAGTTCCACGTCGGAGCCTCACTCATCGAGGAGTGCTTCCCACAGTACGTTGCAATGAGAGAACTCGAGGACAAGGTCCAATTGATTTCGGACTCTACAAGGGACATCGACCGCGACGAAGACGTACTCGACAAAACGCAGCGGGAACTCTTTCGCAACTATAAGAAGCAGGTGACACGGTTTTGCGACGTCATGGCCAGCCTAGATTTTTATGAGATTATGCTCAAGTGTGTGGAGTTTTTGAATCCACCAGAACACGAGGAGAGTGGCGACGAGGAACTGACCATTTTTCTCAGGCCCTTCGTTCGAAATACCGGAACCAACGGTAGCAAGAACCGAGGCAGTGGAGCTTCTTTGTTCCGGTCGAAGAAAGGTTTCGAACCCACCCAGGCTAAGGTTATCAATCCCGTCAAGATTGACGCCGAGGAAACCGAAACCATCGCCTCGGTGACAATCCTCGCCCTCGATGAACTCGGCTTCAATCTTAAAAAGCACGGTGACGTGGAGATCTTGGATCAGCTTCGGGTACGGTATAACAACGACAACAACGTAGTGAAAAATCCGAAGACTAGTACCTTGAAAGATCTGAACATCGAAAATGGTGACGTTCTAACAATTGAGCAGGCCCTCGTTCCTATTCAGGTTCGACGGACGACATCGGAGGGAGAGGCGGTGTTCGTGGAATTAATGATTGACCCACACACGCCTTTGAAGGAACTGAAGGCCACGCTAGACAGCGAAAAGAACCGACACGAAGGCATGGAACGCATATCAGCCGATGAACAAATTTTGTTGCTGGACGGTACCGAACTAACGGAGGACGAGAAAACATGTTTTGACTGTGGCATTGCGTCCGGATCTATCGTAGATCTAAAGTCTCTGGCCAAGATCCCATCGGCAGAGGAAGCCATGAAAGAACAAATCGACAAGATCCTGATTGTGGATACAAAATACGGAACCATGTTCGGTGTGGKGCGCCAAGAAGCTATCCAAAAGGCAGTGGTGACACCAAAAACAGTCAGGGTGGACGACGAATTTTTAGAAGCGACCGACAGTGACATCGACAAGAATCAGATGCTGCAATCGATGATGTCGTCTCCAAACCTCAACGTCAAACCCCAGATTGTGATTGCCAAGTTAAAGATCGAAGATTATGAGATCGAGGACGCAGCAGCAGTTCACAATCTTTGGGGGGTCAATCTCAAAAAGACCAGCCAAAGGCAACGCTCGACAGCAATATTCTTTGTGGACCTCAAAACCAATGCCGTGGGATTTCTGGACCGCAAGAAATTGATGGATATGAACTTCATCACCGTGGTCAAGGTCAATGATCCAAGTGTTCTCGGGGACAACAAAAAGCACGAAGTGAACGAAACACTGGAGCAGGCTGAAGTAGACCAGCAAAAGTACGACTTTTTCGTCGCCAGAATCAGGCGGATATTTGGTATCGAATCGCTTGGTCTGCAGTATACTGATTGAGTAGCAAATAGGGACCGAGCGCTGGTGATCAAATGATGATGCGTTTTTAAATTTAGTTGTTCATTTACTCACTCGCCAATCATCAATTCGTAACTGATACGGCACGTTGTGTGAATTATCATGGTGGTATTGAATATTATAACTTATAACTTCTATTGTTTGTGAAAAAATTCTGCATGAACCTTGGGATGCTAGTTCCTGTATAATTTTCTTTACAAGTACAGCAAGTGACATGTCTTGCTTTTGCATACCTAATGAAGTACCATACTAACTTCGTTATCAACCATAAAGTTGGTTAGTTATAGTATTGTGTTATCTACGCATATTCTAAAGAGGCTAAAAACCAGAGGTAGCCAAGCACGTTGATCCATTCGTTTACCGCATTGAAAAATAGCAAATTGTCGCCCTCAAAAAAATTCCCTCTCTTTCTTTCTCTGGAACACAGCAAGTAAAAGTCCTCGGCCCGGCAGTCGGTCGACACCACCATGTGCTTCTCGAGGGAGTATCGGAATGATCGGTATTCGTTCCCTCTTTCTGTTTCGCCGCTCGCCCTCTCTTTGCAAATGGGACTCGATTTTTTTGAGTAGGGAACAACTGCTGCTACTGGAACTGTTGCAATGATTCGCACGCACGCCAGGTTCAACAAAAATCCAAGGAGGGCATTATAAGGAAATCTACGAGAGAGGCTTCCTTCCCACAAATTGCGTATAGCTTCCGAAGAACACCAATACCATCTTGACGCGATATATCAACGATACTGCTTCTCGACCTCAATCACGTCTAGAGGTTTTCCAAAGATGCGATCGCTCTTCCCCTTTTTCACTGCCTTGCTGGTTGCTACCGCATCAGCCAAACCATTTGGGTATTCGTCTGACATTTCTTCGTCCCCGGAAATGGTATCTACGGATTGCGAAGATGCGATAATGGTCTTCTGGGTCGACAAAACGAAAACGTGCTGCGAAGAGATTGGCTCACACAAAGAGCAATACTGCCGCAAAAGGGCAAAGGAACGCAAGAAAAGGAAAGGAAAGACGGACAAGGGCAAAAAGGAGGAACACAAACTCATCTCGGACCTTTGCCCCGACGCGTGCGGTGTCTCCGTTTCCCAAGCTCCTGCTCCAAGCCCTCTGCCTGCCGGCTCAATGCCAACGGACGAAGACGCCATGGGAAGGGAGCTCCGCACCCTTGCCGACCTCCGGTTCAACAAGTGCCCACCCATTGCAGACGAGAATCGCGCCTCGAACAGCGGCTACACCATGGGTGTCCACACCTCGGTCTTCCCGTTGATGCCGAAGGATTATCCCTTGAGTGGGGAAACGGCAACCGTCTTGCAAGAAGATACAATGGCCGATGCGGTCGTAACTACCGATGACTATCAGCTTGTCCAAGAACAAAACGACCCTTCCTACTGGATGGATCGCATGCGCACCAGACCGTTCTTTCCCGGTGATCCCGAGTTTTGGGACGAGCTGAGAGACGTTGTCGAGGCCCAGATTGCACGCCGGCGAGGAGATGCACCGTCCAGCAGGAACCATTGGCCTTCCACCTGGGACGACAAGGTGACCCTCGAGGACATTGCCCAGGCAGTGGCGGGAGAATACCCTGCGCTTCACCAAGCCACCGCAATCGAGAAGTTCTACGCGGAGGGTCTCGAAATGAACGCCGGCATGAATCCCTTTCGGAGTGCCAACGATTTCATTTCGAGACAGGTTCGTCTGTCCAGCATCAACGCCTGGGCGTTTGAGATTGTTGCTCTCGTCAGCTTTATGATGAAATGGCATATTGGAATGCCTCGTCCCGAGGAGGTGGTGTGGCTGATTCACACCGGGGAATTCACGCCGGAAGCCGACGGGGTGCCCGAAGATTTGGTGGAACTCATCCGGTCCATGGACCTGGAATCTGCCCTCTCCTTTACTGCCTATGGAGTTGGATCTCCCATGCACCCTAGTTTTCCCGCCATGCACTCGTCCGGATCGACCCTGAGTTACTGGTTGCCCGTCGTTGCCGAGGTCACGCCGGAACAGTGGTGCCTGGCGCTCCGCGTCGATTAAGCGACCGCCATGGCACGCACAACCGCCGGAGTCCACTACAAGATGGACAACATTGCCGGTCTCAACCTCGGACAGGCGATCGTCCAACGAAATCTTCCAACCATGCTCCACGAGAAGTATGGATACGACGTCTCGGCCCTGGAGGCGAAACTCGAGATTCTCTCGTTTGACTGGGGTGGCTTTGATGCCTACAATTGCACGATTGGAGGAGAGTCCACCGCAGATATCTTGGCACGCTTGTAAACTCGGTGTCAAGCACGAGCGCTAACCCAGCTGTTCATGGCGAGATGGAATGCCCAAATTCCTGTAAACAGTAGAGAATTCCCTGGTGATGTCTTATTTTTTCCTTTATACATTTGACGGTGTAAGGAAATGTGACTCTGGGCAAAACAAGTGGTGCTACCTTTTCCCCCAAACCCCCCGTACATCGATGCGTATCCTAGCCAATGCGGTAATTGAAATGGTATCGTAGAAACGCCGTGTTGTTTCGAATCTTGCATCGTTTTCTTTTCGGGTTCCGTTCCCCTAGGAAACCACGAAAGAACGCCCAAGATTGCTGCTGCCGGCCCGCCCTAGGACGGTCCCGCACGGAACTCGACGACCTTGCCGGGATTCAGAATGTTGTTCGGGTCCAGGGAGGCCTTGACCCGTTCCATCATGCGGACGGCGCCCTCCCCGTACTGGTCCCCGAGGTATTTGATTTTTCCGTAGCCCACCCCGTGCTCCCCGGTGCAGGTCCCCCCGGCCGCGAGGGCCCGCCGGATGATCCGTTCGTGGACGGCAAAGACCTTTTCCATGTACTCGTCGGGTTCGTCCTCGGAAACGGGCAGGATGCAGTGGAAGTTCCCGTCCCCGGCGTGTCCGAAGCAGGGGCCGACGACCCCCGTTTCCTCGACGTCCCGGACGGTCTCGTCCAGGACGGAGGCAAACTCGGAGAGCGGGACGCAGGCGTCGGTCAAAAAGGCGGTGGTCGATCCCTTTCGGTAGTTGATCGAGGCGTAGTAGAGGTTGTGCCTGGCCGCCCACAGGGCCTTTCGCTCCTCTTCCCCGGAGGTGAACCGGAAATCGGATCCCCCGAACTCGTCCCCGGTGCAGATTTCTTGGGTGGTGGCGATTTGTTCCTTCAGGGCTTCCTCCGACGAGGCCTGGAATTCCAGAAAGAGGGTCGCTTTCTCCTCCATGGGCCGGGAATTGCCGCTGTTGCCGTTGCTGTTGCTGGCATTGAACGCCGCGACGCTGGTCGCGTCGAGCAATTCGCACCGGACCATCGGAACCTCGCAAAACTTGAGCATGGCCACCGTGTTGGCCGCGTCCGCCAGCGATTCAAAGACGCAAACGGCGGCTACGACGTGGTCCGGAATAGGATGCAGCTTGACGGTCACCGAGGTAATGACCCCGAGGGTGCCCTGTCGGTGTTGCGAGTCGTTTCGTGTGACGCGGCCCAGAACCAACAGGATCCGATGCGGAACGAAACGAAACGAAACGATGCGGTATCGGTGGCAAACGAAACGAAAGAAAGCAAAGCAAATCAAAAAACAAGATCCGGGAAAGGGGTTAGATCGAACGCCGGGGCCGCGTGTGTACCGCAAACCCAACCGCAAACGCAAACGCAGAAACACATGCCCAGCGTTCGACGCGCTGCTTGCTTTCGTACCTCGGATCCGCACATGAGGCCCACCAGGTCGTACCCCGCGCTCGACTTGAGGACCCTGCCCCCGATCCGGGAGACGATGGTCCCGTCCGCGAGGACGCACTCCAGGCCCAGGAGGTTCTCCCTCATGGTCCCGTACCGGACCGTGGTCGTCCCCGAGGCCCCGGTGGCGACCATCCCCCCGATGGTGGCGTCGGCCCCGGGGTCCACCACGAACTGCATCCCCGTGGCCCGGAGGGCCTCGTTGAGCGTCTTGCGCGAGACCCCGGCGCCGACGCGGGCGATGGGGTCCGGAAGGGAGACCTCGCTGCTGCTCTCGGTTTCGGTTTCGCTGTCGAGCTCCCCCGGCAGGACCACTTCCGTAAACCCGGCCATGTCCAGCGAGATCGACCCCCTGGTGGTGGCGCAGACGTGGCCCTCGACGGAGGTCCCCGCTCCGTACGGAATGACGGGGATGCGGTGCTCGTTGCAGAACCCGAGGAGCTCGGAAACGTCTTTGACGGTTTGCGGCCGGACGATGACGTCGGGCGTGAGGGGATCGTTGGTCTCGTTCGCAGTGTCGTTCGCAGTGTCGTTCGCAGTGCCGTTCAGCGTGTATCCGCGGTGGTGCGATTCCCCCCTTCCGTGCCGGTCCAGCTCGTACGGGTTGGTGGAAACCTCGGTCGCCTCCGAGAGCTTCCCGTTGTCGCGGAGGCCCGCGAGGGAGGCAAGGATGGCGGCCTGGCGGACCGTCTTGGAGGGATCGCCGAGCTCGCGGGCGAGGCCCGAACCGCTGCTGCTGCTGCTGTTGCGAAGGAAAGCGGTGCTTCCAAAGGAACCAAGGCGTGGGTTCCCGAGCGAGCGGACCCATCTCGGGGCGGCCGTTCGAAGGAGAATCATTCTAAGCACGGTGCGACAGAAGGAAGGAGGGTCGTCGGTCCACAACCAAACGCTAGTGCCAGGATCCGATTGTTGCAATGGTTCGGTTCGGTTCGGATGCGATTGTTCTCGGGGTTTGTCGGCCGGAAACTCTCGCTGTACGGGTGTGTGGTGGTGGTGTCACCAGCTAGCTGCTGCTCGAGGACGGTATATTATGCACTACTAGAGTGGATTCGCTCGGATTCGGAACGATGAGGGACTCGTTCCTTCCCGCGGTGTTTGTTGGTTCTGCGAGCAATGGAATTGTTGACGAATACCGGGTAGGACGTTTGTGTTCGATTGAAGACTGTGATGCCCGGATCCATTCAGATCCAATCAGATCACGAAGTAGGTCTAGGGTTATGGTATGTATATGGTATGTACGGTACGGTACATGTGGGATGTACATGTACAGGATCGTAATCGTACGAATACCCGGTACTTGTAGATACCAGTGTGAAATGATTGCCGTGTGGTTTACTGCCTCACAACCAGTGCTACTGGAAATTAAGAAGCCGTTATAATTATAATCGTATGTATCATACGTATGTACGTACCTACAGTGTCAATTTGAAAAAAAGGATCTTTTTTCTTTTTTGAAATAGATCGAACTCATCGTCGAACAGAACCAACGCGAGTTCCATCCACAAGCAAACGATCATCCCAAGCGTTACTGTACGGTTCCCCAACCGAATCCGTGTATACCAGCAGATCCAGATCTKGTTCCCCGCTGCAGAATCCGTATCCTCCACCGAATTCGGATCCCGAAACATGTCCGACCAGAAGCCACGAAAGAAGCAACGGCGGGAAGCATCCCATCAAGAGAACGACGGGCCCCGCATCCTTCTTCTCGGATCTCTCCTCCCCACCCTGGTCGGCAGTGGCTTCCTTGGCATCGCGGAACTCGGGCGGCTGGCGCAAACCAGCAGAGGCATGAAGGCCGCTGTCCTTGACGACTCCGTCTGGGCCCCGGTGTACCACCAGAAGCACCGCAGCTTTGGATTTGCATTCACCGTTCCCAAACAAATCGCCGACGATCTGGGGTACCGGTGCCTCGTGCGCCGCATGGGGTACAAAGAGATGCCCAAGCCACCTCGCGCCGCCTTTCACCCCCTTCTCCCCCCGAGCCACGATGAGCATGATCTCGTGATGTTTGGCAATGTCAACTTCTCTTGGTGCAGCCTTGGATTCTCCATTACCGGGGAAAGACTCAGACCCTTTTTCACAGAAGGTAAGGTTCGCATACGGCTTGCGGAGATGACTAACTTCAATTGCCTGCTGTCGTGCATGCTGTCGGAGAAATGGGACTTCCATGAACTCTTCGAGGATGAGTGGTGGACTTGGCGTCTCAAAGGTTGTATCGGTTGGATGGTAAACCTTCTCCGCCCCAGCGATATGAAAACATACTGCATCCGTCATTACTACGACATCGAATATGAGGAGCCACTGATTTTCCGGGACTCGCTCCAGGCAAGAAGCATCATGGAGCGGATTGACTATGATTTAGTGATCGCTTCGGGCATAAAGAATTTCTTATGGGAGAACCACCAGTATGCCTATGGACTGAGTCTCGAAGCCAAGAAAGAAGCCAAGACTTTCGATGAAGAAGAGGGGCGTTCTGACGATTTCTATGACGAGAGTTACTACAGTAACCACGGCCTGACCATTGCCCACATTCTGTCCGAGCTAAACTTTTCGGAAGACGACAGCGTTGGTAATAACGATAGCGTCGACTAGGACACCATTGACGAGGATGGCGACGATTCGCCGGCCGACAACCTTCCCTACAACATTCTATTAGCCGGTGAACCACTCACCGTATTACTAGTATTTTTCTTAGGCGGGACGTTCGGCAACGGACAAATCAAAGAAGGAATGGAAGACATGCATAGAGAGGAGCCAACCATAATCGCAAAGGAGGGCACGGAAACGATGCATGCAGTCTTGTCCATGCATCCCCGGAAAGGCGTTCGTTTTTGTTTTCGTTTGGGCCTTGCTGCACCGCGCTGCAAGCATTCGGTTCGCGGGTGGCGGTCGACAAGAACGGGGATTGTGTCGGCGATGCGGGTTCTGTTTGATGTCTGTTGCAAGCACACTGCTAGTGGAAGGGGTGCGTTGTGCCGGCATTCGGGGGTTTGTGTTGTGTTTGTTCCGGACCTGGCAACGAGAAACCGATCGGGGACGATGCATTTTCGCTTTTCGCAAACCACCCGCCGGCAGCAAGCGGGAAGTCGCGGGGCGTGTTCGCAACGCTCCCGGCATTCGGTTCCCCGGTTGGTAGTTCTGCCGTGCTGTTTTTTTGGGATCAACTCCGAATAGAAGCCATCGCTCGGGTCCTTCCACCGGAAGTTGCCGTTTACAAGAGTCGCTTCCGAACCAGGGGGGCTCTCGACCGTCGCTTTGGCTAAGCGAATGATAGAAAGTTTCAAAAGTCAACAGTATAAGTAAAAAAAAAAACTATGCGAGATGGGAATGATAGCCGAAGGACTTCGAAGCAGCAGTACCAAGTACTTTAATAGCTTTAGAAACAGACAATTGGTTGCTTTCGTGCATGACTTGTGATAAAACCAATTCGTCGCGATTCGTGAGACGGCAAGGTCAATACCGTTATTTGGAGTCATTTGGAAATTGAACTTGGATATCGAACCGAAGAACCCCATCACCTAATAATATAGAGAATAAAAGCTGAGAACAATAATTAAATTGTGTATCACTTGAAGTAAACCGAAAATATTATCGAAGAGGCACTTAAATTTCCAATGATATTGTTGAATGCTACGAATTTGAGAACAATAAGAGCGGCCGACAAAGACCTGTTTTTGATCGCATTAAAACGTGTGGGAGATCGCATTATGATGTCACTCATATAAAATTTCTCGATGACTATAAGGCTTTTCTAAAAAATCGTTCTCTCCTTCTATATTGTGATGAATTCTTCTAAATTATTCTTTTGGATTGAAAACCAATGAGACGTTCTTTTTTTTTTCACCATTTTTCTGATTAACTACGACTACTCGATTGATGGAAGAACTAAAACAGATTGCGTGGATTGTTGTCATAATCAGTGCCGAATACTACACTATTTCGATTGTTGGATCTTTCGAGACATTGCACAATACTTCCTAGAATTCAAACCAGCGGAAAAGTTATATAGTGCTCAATCACGTTAACAAGTACAAGTACCCAGTAAACACCATCTCCTACGAGAAAAACACTGAAAGCACAGCGACAATGCCGAAAGATTCTTCCAGCAACATGGCCATGACTAACGAACGGTGGTCTGCCCCTGGAGGAACCAACGAAAATGATGCCCTTGGCGCCTTTGTTTCCAACAGTACGACGCAGACAGATCGATCCAAAAAGAGCGATAGTCTTCGACAGATGCTTTGTCAGGATATCGGAACAACAACGCTGGTCTTGACGAAAGGACCGTCCTCCAAGGCTCGGTCTCTGATACGGACCATGCCGATTCCATCGAACAACAGCCTCGGTAGCATGAGCACGATCAGCAGCACGGAAAGTCTCTGGCTTTATGGAGAGAGCCAAAAATTGGGGTCGGTCACCAACATTTCCAAGAACAGCCTGCTTCGGTACGGCAACATGGACAGCAGGAACAGCCTCCTGAGCCTGAACAACCGATGGAGGGCCACCCCCCCAAACGCGGTGAACTCCAACCCCCAAAAAATCTTCTCGTCGTCGTTCAATGCGCCGATCTCTACTGGGAACCAGCAGAGCCGGTGGAAGGCAACACAGGGCGGGGACCAACCGATCGGCATGGTAACCCGAAAGACGTCGGCAACGTATCTGTTTCCTGCAAAATCGGCGTAAAGCCGAACGTTGTGAAACCGACACGAGCCAACCGACTACCCGACAGTATCGCACTATACTATTATACATCACCACACCACACCGCATCGCATCGCAGCACGCATAAGCCAAAAAGGAGGAAACCAGAATCTATGGCAAACTCCGAAACAAGCTATTGTACATGTACATTACTAGCAAATAGATTATAATCATTCGTTTCTGACTAAGAGCTAATTAGACATTTTACACACGCTATGAAAACAATACTGCACTTCAATAACAATTATGTGGTACGTACTTATTGTTCTCGTAGGTTGCAGACAAGCTCGTTGCTGCACGAGTTCCACGCATGGCAGACCGGTCGCAATCAATGGTGTGCGAGCTTTCCCGTCATTCCCGACATGGACTTGGTTTTTCCGTCCGGAATCATGTACAAAACACAGGGCTTGTCTTCGCCCAGGTAGGGACGGTCCACGCGGTAAAAACCACGGCGTTCGAGCTGGATGACGTCGCCCTCCTGGAGAGTCTTGAGGCATGCATCTCCGATGGCGGAGGTGGTAGCAATGGTGTTGGGGTTGACGAAATCGGCAAAGTTGTCCCCCTCCTCGAGCTTTTCCTTGGTCACGAGGTGGTCGAATTCGGTGAGGATCGATGCACAGCCACCAGAGGCGGCCATCCAAGAAAACTTGCGCTTGCACGACTTGAAGTCACCGTCGGGGACCAGTTCGCCCTCGAGCGTCTTGGAATCCTCCGATTTCTTGGTGATCTTGACCACTCCCCAGCGCAACAGGACAATGTTTTCCCCCTCGACGCAATCCTTGGCGTCCACCTCCTCCAGGAGAACCTTGCTCGAGAGCTTCATGGGACGCTTGCCCATGGAGGGATCCTTGGGGTGGAGCGAGGTGCTAATGTAGGTTTCGCCCTCGTCGGAAAAGTTGGTAATGGTCAGCGTCGAATTGGCACTGGCGTCGACCGCCATGAACCGACGGGCCTTCACGTCGAGGTCCTTTTTGTTTTCGGCCCAGAAGGAGTTCCAGACCATGTTGACGACACGGCGAGAGGCACCCTGGGAGTAAATGTACTTTTTGAGGGCCGGGATCGAAACTCCGCGGCGGAGGACTCCGCGAACCGTTGGGAAGCTGTTGCAACAACAACAACAACAACAACAACAACAACAACAACAACAACAACAACAACAACAACAACAACAACAACAACAACAACAACAACAACAAAAGAAGGAGAGGGAAACAGAAAAAGGCGCAAAGAAAGGCGATTCCGATCAAACACAAGCCATTGGTGAGACACGGACCGTGCAGCGGCGCCGAGAAACAAAAGGTCTAGAAAGAACCCACGTACCGGGCATCGTTCCATCCCGTGACGAGCTTTTCCTCCACGAACCAGGTGAGCTTGCGCTTCGACAGCACCGTGTACTGGAAGTTCATGCGGCAAAAGGCGTGGATGCGGACCCTCCGCAGCCCGAGGGTCTTGAGCAGGTACTGGTACTGTTCGTCGCGATCGTTGTACTCGGTGGTGCGCAGGGCGTGCGTCACGCCCTCCAGCGAGTCCACGATCGGGCAGGCCAGGTCGTAGGTCGGGTAGGCCTTGAAGGTGGTGCCGGTGCGGTGGTGCGGGATCAGGTTCTGTCGGTAGAGGACGGGATCGCGCATGGTTCCGTTGTCGGAAGACATGTTTATCTTGGCGCGGAGGCACCACCTGCCCCCCTCTTCGCTTCCGCTGCACATGTCCTCGAAGAGGGCCCTAGCCTCGGAGGGGCTCTGGTTGCGGTGCTTCGATTCGACCCGGTTGGCCCGTTCTTCCTTCATTTGTTCCTGCGGGGTGTCGTCCATGTACGCCTGTCCGTTTTCGATCATTCGCAGGGCGTACTTGTGGATGGCCCCGATGTAATCGCTGGTGTAGGTCAGGACGTCGTTCTTGACGCCGAGGGTTTTGAGATCCTCCACGATGGATTGCTGGTATTCCTCTTTCTCCTTGGAGGGGTTGGTGTCGTCGAAACGGACAATCATTCGTCCCTTGTAGCGACGGGCGTAGTAATCGTTCAGGAGGCAGGCCTTGGCGTGGCCGACGTGCAGGTAACCCGAGGGCTCCGGTGGGAAGCGCGTGACCACCCGGCCGGGGACGGCTCCCTCCAGCAGGTTCATGCCGGTCACCAGGGGTTCGAGGGCCTCYTCCGTGAAGCGGACCTCGGCGTCCGTGGCACCGCTGGCACCGACCACCAGCTGCGTGGCCTTTTTGAGGGCCGGGTGTGCCGCCATCGTGGCGGTCCAGCGGGTGGCCACGGGAAAGTCCYYGAGGGASGYKGCGACGCGGACCCTGTCCTCCAGTGCGCAGGGAAAGCCGAGGGCCGCAAAGAGGGCGACGTCGGCAAGCGAAACGGAGTGTCCACACAGATAGGTTCTCTTGGACAGGGCGTGCTCGAGGGTCATCGCGATCCCCCTSACGGCCTGCTCGGCGTCCAGCTGGGTGAGAGACTGGGCGTATTCGATCCAGGCGTTTTGCTCCGCCTTTTGCAGGGCCGACGAGGGTTCGAGGASGTTGCCTTGACCGGAAASCTCGTCCAGGATGTACCGAGCCGCCGCCAGRTCGCCGACGATSACCCCGCTCCCGTCCGCCGAGCACATCATGGGGGCCGGAACCCGGTGGTCGGCGGTGACCGAGAGATCCACGTCGACGTCGGTGAGGCAGGCCACGGCCAGGGCCATCACGGGGCGCTCCCGCATGCTTGAAGCGTTGGGGTTCAGCACCACCTGCAGCGGCTTGAGCTTGAACCTGGAAAGGTCCGTGAGGCGGGGTGGTCCCTTGTTGGCGGGCTTGCTTGCAGCGGCAGCAGCAGCAGCAGCAGCAGGAGGAAGGTCCTTTCCGGCAAGGGCACCCCCGGAAGCGGAAGGTCCCTGGGCCCCGCCCTCCTTGATGAGACCGGCCTTGTACGCGGCCTTCTTGGCGGCCTTTTCGGCCTTCTTGGCCGCCTTCTTGGCGGCGCTCTCGGCCGAGGCCACCATGTTGGCCAYKGGATTCCCCTTCTTTTCTTTCTTGGCATWTTGCCCGTGGGGCTTTCCGTCGACMCCGATTCCACCGTTCATGTCCGCGAATTTCCCCTTGAGCTCCAAGAGCTTGGCGACGAGGGGCCCGATGACCTTCTTGACCTCGGCGCTGTCGGAGATCTCTTTCTTCGCCTTGGCAATGCTGCCTCCAACGGTTGCGATTTCGGCCTTGAGTGATTCTAGTGTTTCGGCCATGTTGCTTCTTTCTCTTTCTACCGGAATGGGATGGAGTTGGAACAGATGGGCTTGCTTTTCGTATCGGTGGCTTTCTTTTCCCAAGAGCAGGATAGCCTGCCGTACCGTAGGTCCAACCTGCACAACCTTCCCTGTTTCCCTGCACGCAGGCAGAACAATCAGCTTTGTGTTTCGTGTTTCGTGTGTGGCTCGATCTTGTGGCTCACAATAGTACTTTCGTCGTACTGTAGTACGTGCCATACGAGGAGGCAAAGCACGAACACCGTTTCAAAACGGGGGCGACCAAAAGTAGATCTACGATGGATGCGACCCCCTTGACTCATGTGCGGTTCGTTTACTTCACGTACCGTACATATGAATCATATCTATGATGGTGGTTGCAAAAAAAACTACTGGGACGTTCGGTATCGACGATTTTACCACGTACCTTCACTACTAGACCCGTTACTGGAATGGAATTAGTAGACACCACGTGAGACACTACTTAGACCCATTTGAACAGTCCCACAAACTAAGTATGAAATTCGATACTCAAGGGGGGGGGCTGGGAAAATTGAAAAAAAATTCTGGTAGCGTGGCTTATATTATGGTAGCATTTTTAGTCGCAATCTGGTAGCAATTATAGNACGATACGATCATCGTACTCGTAGCTGCACGTCTGCACGGGTCCGTCGGTCTGTACGTACTCTGTACCTACCGGTATCTGTGTTCAGCACCCCTGGGACGTTCGGTATCGACGATTTTACCACGTACCTTCACTACTATACCCGTTACTGGAATGGAATTAGTAGACACCACGTGAGACACTACTTAGACCCATTTGAACAGTCCCACAAACTAAGTATGAAATTCGATACTCAAGGGGGGGGGCTGGGAAAATTGAAAAAAATTTCTGGTAGCGTGGCTTATATTATGGTAGCATTTTTAGTCGCAATCTGGTAGCAATTATAGCTACCATCTGGTAGCAATTTTAGCTACCATTTGGTAGCGATTCTGGTAGCTGGTAACGGTTACGGTAGTAAAGTATGAAAACATGGTAACGTTTCTGGTAACTGATGTTTTTAGTATAAGTAGTACTCACGTTCTGAGGATGAAATTTTAAGTCCTGTCATGGGACTGTTTAAACTCCTCCTGCTGCTGCTTGTTGCTGGACTGCTTTTTGCCGCTGCTGGGACTGCTCATTACACTAAAGCAGCAGCAACAAGCAAGCAGCAGCAACAAGCAAGCAACAGCAACAGCAATGGCTCAACTAGTAGTACAACGATCAACCTCCAGCAGGGTCAGCAGTGTCCTCATAATAAAACAATGGCAAGAGCTGGAGCGACATCGTCTAAGAAAGGCAGAAGACAGGAAGAGCAAAGCAGAAACCCCGAGCCAGTCTACTTGAAACTAGAGCTATCGAAGAAAATTGCTTGCTTTAACTTCTGGTCCTATCTCAGAAGTGAAGGAAAAGAAGGTTGGAACCCTAAMAACAAGCCATCGTCCGTCTTCAATTACAGAAGCTCTCGATACATTCAAACTCACATCAAGCAATCGAGCTGGCCCAAGATTGGGAAGGTATGTAACAACAAGAAGAAGGTTCTGGTTGGTACTGTTTCTTTGTAATCTTACAGTTGTTCCCCCTCTCGTATCTCCACAGAGCATGGCAACACTTGCTATTGATCTACAGAACCGAGGAATCACACTAGTTAACCCATACGAAGAAATCCAAGCAAAGCTTGCAGAWATTGCAAAGAAGGAGGAGGAAGAACCCACCGAAGAACCCACCGAAGAACAAGAGGAATCGTTTGAGGAAGAGGAAGAACCCACCGAAGAACCCACCGAAGAACAAGAGGAATCGTTTGAGGAAGAGGAAGACCCTATCATGACACGCAACAAGAAAGCCATTGATGATGATGATGATCTTTCGGAACTTGTTGAAAGATCCCTCTACATCGAACCAGCAGTTCAGTGGGTTAGCGGATCCCTATCCTATCCAATCCTTTCCGGTCGATGGGAAACATTTGATCACGATACTGATAATACAACATCCCTCTGCTTGATGAGGATGCTCATCCACACTGGAGCACAGGAGTCTGACTTCAGGCTCTCCTGGGTCAATAGGAGGACCTTTCGAGTGGCATACAAGTGGCCTAGCTTCATGCAGAGATGTATGATGCAGACTGATTTGGACGTGACAACAACAAAGGAYGGAAAGTCTTTCCAAACSTTTMCAGCCGGACATGCGTTGTATACAAGCATGGGCAAGACAGCAAAGAAGCTCAAGGATGATGATGGCTTCATCTGGTCTGAAGGCTTCTTCAAATTTAAGAATGATATGGATACTTCTATCTATGTTGCTGAATTCCTAACTATTAACATCAGTGTAAATGGCATCGTTAACAAYGATGGAAACATCCTCCAAATTCAATTCAAGGAAAGGGATGAGGAYRAATCGAAACCAGCAAGCTTCCAGTCTCCTATCCTATCCAAGAGAGGTGGAAACGTGAACCTGTGTAAGTCGTCTGGTGCTGCTTGTCCTCCGGAMCCTCCCACTTCTGCTGGTGCTGCTGGTGGCTTAGCAGAGGAGAAGAAAGAAGAGCACMAAAAAAAGAAACCCAGAACTAACAAGGATACTTCTTTATCTCCCTCTTTGCCTCTCCTGYCCTTGCCACCACCACTGACACCTTCATYGCCTCCTTCACCAACAAGAAAGAATGATGCGACGAACAAGAGGTTGAGGGAAGAAGAATGACAACTACTGCTCCAGATGGAAGAGAACAACGAAGAGAGCTTTCATTCATTTGATTCATCCATTGCTTCCTCTGGAATAGACCCAATCAGGTCCTTCCATGATGCYAAATCATATCTAGATGAGGTTGAGAAGGTTCTTTTTGAGCACACAACAAGATAAAGCGGAGACGCTTACGATTAGTAATAGAWAGCGTTTATTTCCATGGCGCGGCAGCAAATACTTAAGAACAATCTCTAGCAAGACTGGACGCAGCAGCAGTAGTTGCTGTAATGTACTAGAGGAATCCTTCAAAGACCAGCTTCATAGCTGGCATGCTTGCTCTGKGGACTAGAATTTTYGATCMCATCATGGAGTGYGTTTCAGCAGCAGTAGTAGCTGCTGTGGGATTGAAGTACAGTTTGCTAGAGCCAGTACTGTACGGCAGGAGCCCCACGCAAYGCATGCAGCTGATCCAGCTGCTCAGCGAGGAKCAAAATGGATCTATTTGGAGCTCTGTAGTACAAAAGCTGTGTAGAACCCCTGTAGAAAACAGCAAATCAAGGGGGTACCCTTGCCGTTTTGCTCAAGTTTGCTCTGCAGAGGAGCAAACTGATCAAATTGAACTTTCCTGGTACAAGCTGTACAGCAATTTGCTGTAGAAATTCCTTTTGCAAGGGGGGAGCCTTGCCAGTTTGCTCAATTT